TATACTGTAACAATTGTTTGACATATTTGCAGTATATTAAAACTCTAGGTTTCTGGTTGGGCAGCATCATTTGGAGCAAGTTTGCACTGATTTGTTTTATGTTCATGGCAATAAATTTCATATTCACCTAGATGGTACATCAACATCATGTTACAAGCGTCTAAGTTGAAATTATGCATGAAATATGGTTTAACTACTGAAAAATTCTAGTTTTCTTCTCATTGGTAATTGTGTTGCTTCTTTTCTATTTTAAAATGGTTCGAATTGCAAATTGCTTCAGCAATTTGACTGGAGTGGAAATGATTTCGGAAATATTGAAATGCACACAACCAATGTTTTTTTTCCCCCTTAATGCAGACCAGTAGTGACAAGTTGGAACAATTTTAAATGAATTAATAATTCATTCTGTGCTTATTTTGAAAGGAACAACAGGCTTTGTATCAATCCCTCTCTCAGTTTGTTCTGTTTAACGGGCTGAAAATATTGCTCAGAATCATTTTGAAGTGTCTATTTTATCTCATGCAAAACATTCAGAAACTCAACTGCTTTTACTCTATTGACACTATCTTTTCAAATTTGCACCATTTATTGATATAAAGATGAGATACAGAGAACTTCTATTCTTTGTCTGTTTCATTTCATCTAAGTACAATATTAAAAGGAACAGTTCACCTAAAAAACTAAATTCTGACGTTATTTATTTACCCTTGTGTCATTCTAAACCCATATGACTTATCTGTCTCTGTGGAATACATATACTATATATCATTTATTTGTTTTATTTTTGAAGTTTGTTTGAACTGTTTTTGTCCATACAATAAAGTTAGTGGGGTCCAAAAGTACACTGAACCCCACTGGCTTTCACGTCATAGGTTTGGTTGAAAAAAAAAAAAAAGGTGTGCGTAAATGATGGCAGAGCTTTCATTTTTGGGTGAATGCTGCCTTTAAGTCTCGTGTCAGAAATGTGGGAAAGAATACAAGATTATCATTGAAAATTACTTTTTTTAATTAGTAATTTTAATGAATTACTACTTCCAGAATTATTGGAAGAAAACAGCCCTTGCACAAATGCACAATTAGACATCAAAATCTTTTCTTTTTTTTCCAAAGCAATCATTTTACATAAATTGGCATGCAGACCAACAAGTAGAATTACAAAATTAAACCATTATTTCATCTTGGTTTAGGAAAAAAAAAAAAAAAAGAGTATGTCAAGCCAGAAAAATAAACTTCTCATTAAAAATTATCCCATCGATACATAAAAAAGTCAATTTCAGAGACATTAAAACCTACAAACATTTTTTTGGGGTGTTGATCACTTCTGTTATAACGTGTGTAATGTAAAAAGAATACAAAACGTTACAAAGCACTCAAATATTCACATACTGACTTACGTTTGATATTGGCTTGTTATATAAATTTAATTCACATAAATAATGAGGCACAGAATGACCAAGTGAGGCATTGGCCTGTTATTGTCATGGCTGAAGAAAAGCCTCTTCATTTTAAACCCAACACAGGATATCTTGTCCTCACAATGAACTGTGCTCCTCATCAAGTTCACACTTTTCATTATACTGGTATCTTGCCATTTATGCAGTTTGCAGCGGTTTGCTCAGCATTCGATGGTCGCCTGCTGGTCAACAATGTATTTACAGTCAACTTTGATTCTGGAATGAAAACATTAAACCGCATAAACACATTTCATTACACCAAATACACAAAATAATGTTTTTTCAACATCATATGACCCCTTTAAGAATTTCTGTGAATGTTATTCAGTTTTTATCCCCCACAAACTATTTAATATATTCTGGACATTTGGGCATCCAACTCATTTGGCATTTGATATAGTACCCAGGGATTTATTATTTATTATTTTTGCAATTCCTTTGGTTGCTACTAGAGGCAAAGAAATGACACACTTCATCTTTAAAGCATCTGTATGTAGTTTTGTGTATTTTCCGAGTTTGGAGCCCACTACCATTAAGTGGGTGAAATTCACTGTCATAATTATAGCCTTCCATGTTCATTTGTTGCTGTCGTAAAGTAATCCATCCTTTTCGGCGGAATTTCGTATCCACTCACCAAACTCCCAGAACAGACTTACATACAGTTTATTTAAATGTTTGTTTTCAGCTTAAGGAGTCATTAAAGCATAATATACTGTTGAAAATTGTAAATTTTTGATGGCTAGCTATTTAAAAAAATACAGAGAGTCTACTATTTTTTTTAAATAATTACCTAATTTTGTTTACACAAATTTAGTTTAATAAATATATGTGTCCAAGCAGAGTTTAATTATCTTGGGACATACTTGCATTACTTTGTCAGTTCCAAAACAAAAAAAAATGGAAATGCTTTCCAATGAAAGAGAAAACTGTTCAAAAGCTTGACTGATTTTAAATTCATAATGATACAAAAATTCTCAGGTTGCACAATAGTTTCTGAAAGATTTGGTTTCTGTTTTTTGATATAGTACCCAGGGATTTATTATTTATTATTTTTGCAATTCCTTTGGTTGCTACTAGAGGCAAAGAAATGACACACTTCATCTTTAAAGCATCTGTATGTAGTTTTGTGTATTTTCCGAGTTTGGAGCCCACTACCATTAAGTGGGTGAAATTCAGTCTGAAAGTCATAATTATAGCCTTCCATGTTCATTTGTTGCTGTCGTAAAGTAATCCATCCTTTTCGGCGGAATTTCGTATCCACTCACCAAACTCCCAGAACAGACTTACATACAGTTTATTTAAATGTTTGTTTTCAGCTTAAGGAGTCATTAAAGCATAATATACTGTTGAAAATTGTAAATTTTTGATGGCTAGCTATTTAAAAAAATACAGAGAGTCTACTATTTTTTTTAAATAATTACCTAATTTTGTTTACACAAATTTAGTTTAATAAATATATGTGTCCAAGCAGAGTTTAATTATCTTGGGACATACTTGCATTACTTTGTCAGTTCCAAAACAAAAAAAAATGGAAATGCTTTCCAATGAAAGAGAAAACTGTTCAAAAGCTTGACTGATTTTAAATTCATAATGATACAAAAATTCTCAGGTTGCACAATAGTTTCTGAAAGATTTGGTTTCTGTTTTGGCATGGTTTATGTAGCAGATTGTAATAACAGCATTTAAACTGGACGACGAACAAGAAATAATGAAGGGGAAAAAAACAGAATCAGCATTCGGCACAAAAACGTTCACCCACACCAAAAAAAGAAAAGAAAAAAGAGCCACAGGCTGAACACCACAGACGGCAAGCTACAGATCCACATGTGTCATAACATGAAGAATATAAAAATATGAACCACAAACATCCAGCACATTACAACTATTCAATGCAGTATGTAACTGAACAGATCTACGAACCACGTTCTTTACCTCCACTTCATTCTCTAGAGCTATCATTCGATTTTCTTTCTCCTGATATTCCAGCTGTAGTTGTTTGTACTCTGAGTCTAGATCTTTAGCTTTTTTCCTCAGCATTTGAGTTTCACTGTGTTCTTGCCTATAGTTGATGGAAAAAATACAACATTTTACAGGTTTATTTTGTCATTGCTATTTTGCATTGAGAATTCTACTGCCAATTATAACCATAATTAAAAAGCACAACATTTAGACCTAGTCTCAAAGACACAGATTAAGCATCATCAGTGATGGAAAACTAAAATTCTAAACATTGACAAGATTAATGTAGGAATGCATTTGAATGTGTTTGCACTATTGCTTTATTCATACAATTACCTGAATGATGCGCTTCGAAATAAAATCGTTGCTTCATCAAATTTTTGGGCTCTGACTTCTGCGAGTTGTTTTTCTACTGCAACCTGAGCCTCTGTTTCCATTCTGATTTTCTTTTCCAGCAAGGAACAGTTTTGTTTGTCCTTCTGTCTGGATTTTGTAAGACACTGAATCCTGCACAGCAGAGCAATTTAAAAGAACAGTGTTAGATTTTGTCAAGTTCCACTTACTCTTCTACAGTTCAAAAAGCATGAACTTTCATAGTTTGTAATGTATGCACTACCATTTAAGAGATTTTTTAATGTTGTTGAAAGAAGTCTCTTATGCTCAGCAATGCTGCATTTATTTTTCAGTTTATTCCTATGATAGCAAAGCAGAATTTTCAGCAGCCACTACTCCAGTCTTCAGTGTCGAATGATCCTTCAGAAATAATTTTAATATGCTGATTTGCTGCTCAAGAAACATTTCTTATTATCATCAGTGTTAAAGGGGGGGTACAATGCTGTTTCATGCATTCAGAGTTGTTTACACTGTTAAAGAGTTGGATTCTCATGCTAAGCATGGACAAAGTTTCAAAAAACAATTTGGATTTATGACGTATTTCTGTGCCAAAAATCTTACTTCCGGGTTCGTACACGTTTCAGAGAGTTTTTTTCGATCGTGGCTCTTAATGACGTAAACGAGGGAGGAACTCCTTATATGGGCATTTCTTCCGGAAGAACGTGCCCGCGCACGCATCGACCAGAGCAAGAGCCAGATCGTCCGGCAGATCATCCGGCGGCAGCGCTGCACGGGACTTGCTCGGGAAGAATGTCTCCAATCCAAAGAAGTGTGTTTTTGGTTGTAAGGGAAAGATAACTTTGTTCAGCTTCCTAAAGAACCCAGCGTTATGTAAACAGTGGATACAGTTTGTTTTTCCGGAGCAGCAACTGAATTTCACAAGTGTGTTTGTTGAGGAACGTTTTATAAACAAGGCCCAGTTCGACGCTGGATTTGCACATCGTTTGATACTGAAAGATGGAGCGGTCCCAGCTATAAAAGATCCCGGTCATGATTCAGAACTGCAGACGGTAAGTGAAACGGCATCAAATGTCTGTTTTGTTGAGAAGGGTATAACTGCAGCCTGGTGATCTTCAAATGGGGGCGGGAACTCCAAAACGGGGTGGGAGCTCCAAAATATGGCGTGCCTTCCTCTCATTGACAGACAGGCACATGACACGCATGCGCAATTTTTTCCCACAATCCACTTCAGTGCAAACTCCACCCCACAGCTGATTCTAAAGATTTTATTGGTTGTGTCAATTGAAGTGTTGATTTCCTACACTATGCTACAAAAAATGCTAACCCCTAAACCTACCCCACACCTGACCCTAACCTTAACCAGTGAAATTGACAGCATGGCGGGATTGGCACTGAATAGTCTGGTAAAGAAAGATGCAGTTCAGGAGATAAACAGTTAATAAGATTATGCGGTATGAGATCGTTCCGTAACTCCCCAACCGGACCTCACCGGACAATGGCACCTTTTTAGTTGCACCCATCATCACTACCCCCTCCTACCCGGCGAATTTCGAGCCCCGGGACGCCCCCATTGCTTAAAACAAAGCGATAGAGTAAAATATTTGCGCTGCGCTGGGACGGCTCGCGGGAGAGCTCGTGGGTGATTCGAGTTTATATCATGAAGCAGAGGTTCAAACTCCAGTCCGAACACCACTGGCCAAGAGCTTTGGGCTCTGCTCTCACGGAGAATATTTATTTATATAGCATATTTTATTTTAGATCAACTAGAAACAATGTTTAACTTATAAAGTTTTATTTTGAAATGTAAGTCAATAACAATTGGCTGAAGCCAGAGCCAATGGTGAAAGTCCCCGCCCCATTTTGGAGGTTCTGCCCACTTTTGGAGTTCACGCCCCATTTTGGAGATCACCGGTCTGTAGTTATACCTACTTGGTTTTGTTGGCATTCGGCGCCCAAGTGCTCGTCACTCTTTAGCTCCGCCCACGGCGCGCCTCCAGGAGCTCGGCTTTTTCCGGAGAGAAGAAAAAAGCTGTATCTTTCTTTTATAAATATGATAAAACTAAAGGCTTTTTGGAGATATGAAGGATGCAGTACTACTCTATAAGTACTCAAGATTAACATGAGATTGGGTGAAACTGTGTGCGTTATGCCCCCTTTAAAAACAGTTGTGCTGCTTAATATTTTTGTCAAAACTGTGATTTGTTTTTTAGAATTAAGTTCAAAAGAACAGCATTTGTTTGAAATAGATTTTTTCGTTGCAGTATAAATGTCTGCGGTCTCTTTTGATCGACTGAATGCATCCTTGCTGAATTAAAGTTTTAATTTCTTGAGTTCTTGATGCATAAATAGAACGATAGTGTATGAGTGTAACTTCATATTTGGGTGTATGCAACTACGCACAATTAGGGCACTGTGTAATTTCATATGTATCCTAAATGCACACAAATAATATTTTGTACACTTTTGTCATAAGCTTGATTGAAAATACAGCACAAAATATTCTGTTTATTTATTTGTGATATTTTTTACTTTGTTTACCTTGATTCTTCTTCATTTCTATGGTAAACACTAACTTTTGAGGGGGAAAAAAACTTTAATGGGACGAAATTAGGTGGTTGTGATGGAAATGGTGGGACAGCTGTAAATATAAATATTTTTACACAATAAATATTTTAATCATTTTTGCATTTACTAGATTATAATAGTGATTAAAATGATAATAAATAATACTTTTATGATGGGTTTGCATAGTTTAAGAGACAAAAGGTCAAACAATACAGTCTATACATAAAAGCCATGGTAAAAACTATTAAAGTGTGTTATTGTTATCATATAACATCCAAAACACTGCCAACAGTAAGAACCACCTATATGTTTGATATTTAAATGCAAACATCAGTCAAACATCAAGCTGCATGACCTAACATCAACCCAGAGCACTAATGCCAAGACCAGCAGGAAGAGATCAGAGGACTCACTTGTTTTGCAGCAGTTCATTTGCATGTCTGAGCAGAGAGACTTCAGGGCGCAGACTGTGTTCACTGTTGGTCAGATTACAAATGTGACTGCGCAGCTCCTGCTCACTCTGTCTGCTCGCCTGCAGCTCTCCCTTCAGATTCCTCATTTCTTGTTCCAGCCTGTGGAGCAGAAGGAGATCACAATGTAAATGTACACGAAATTCATTAACCATCTTCCACAGTCCATTACACTTTTGCAAACATATGAATTTAGAGCTAAATCAGTACATATAGAAATGAAATAACATAAACATACTTCAGCATCTGCTCAGCATGTGGGTTCGGAGGACTTGGTGAGATGTTTGACGAGCACCTTTCAGCAGAGTCCCCTATTGTGTTGATGGCTTTGGGGGCTTTCTGCCTCTTCTCCCCTTTGCTGTTAGGGATATTCACTGAACCTCGATGCACTTTAGGCAAGGAGCTCTTGGAGGGTCTTTGAGCTTTGCTGCTCTGATCCTCCTGAGGTAGGTTTTCAGGCATTTCTAGCATGGATGTAGAGTCCAAATGAAGTTCCCCTCCACGGTGCTTGGGTCCTGGAATTTGTGGATTTGCATCTCTTTCGGGTCTCGCAGGAAGTCTGTGGATTTGAAGGCAGTCTTCCATGTTTTGTTTGTCCTCTGAGGTGATGGAATTGGATGGACACTGGTATTGTGTCGGCCTAGATTTGGCCACCTTATATTTGGGATCTGTACAAAGACATTTGTCACAATTTTACATTTGTGAGCTTTATGACTTTTTTTTTTGTACTTCATAATTTAAATTAGATTAGATTACTAAATTGAATTGCAAATTATGTGTCATGATTTTTTGAGCAATATTAAACTATTTTAAACTGTTGAACTTTTTAGAAAGTCATCTTAAAAATAGCTACATATTATATGGTACTGTAAAAGAAATTATACATACCTTCCACCCACAATTTTGGATACAGGTGCATAGAAGGAGGTAGGGATTGTTGCAGGAGATCCATGTGGAGGTCATTCTCACTCTGAACTGATTTCTGAGTGCGCAGCTTAAACATACTGAAGAAGTAGCATGTTGCATCAAATCCCATATACACTAGTGGATAACCAATGCTGGAAGAAATAATTATACCATGTGTTAAATTACAGTATGAAACACTGCTGGTAAAATTGTTGTTTATTTAAAACCCCATATTACATTCAGCTCTAAAATAAATTGCCAATCAGAACCTACCAGTGTGCAGCAAATAGATGGGACAGATTTGCATGAGGGCTTTTCAAGTCCCGCAACCGTAGAGAGGCCTCCATATACACTAAGAGTATCCATAATGTCACAGATGACATACAGATTCCCTTTTCTGCAAATAAATAAATGAATAACGTGTGTATAAAATGGAAAGTAACACATTGCATTTAACTGACATACTATGCACACTATGTATGTGTAAATAAACTTATATAATGTTTATATCCATAATACTTCTGTAAGTGTTAATGAAATGGCAATTTGATTATAGGGCTCACCTGTATGCCACATATAGTTGAGTAAGACATATGTGCTGGCTGCAAAAAACAGCCAGTGCAAGGGTACAAAAATTAAACAGAATAAGTCCAGGGTAAATGCCGCACACACAAAAACCACACAGATGGCCTGTTAAAGAAAAGCAGAGGTTAGTTTGTTTAATATCAATTTTTTAAATGGTAATTTGAAATTCAAATAAATGCAGGAACACAACATAATATAAATAAAAAAGAAAATGGAACAAGAAAATGTATTTGTAATTAGATCAGGTTTTGTTATCATTTTAAAAGTAAACAATACAGTTGCATTTGCAGAGCAGAACATTGCCTACCAGTCCATGACAGTGGAATGTGGTGTAGACGGTCCCTAGAAAGAGCCAACATGGCCACAGGTATTCTAGTCTGAACTCCAGAATAAAGTCAGCTAACAGCACCAGCATCCAGACGATCATGAACTTCAGAACAGAGCAAGCGCTGAAAACAGGACATTTGAAATGACTTACCATTAGAATTGATTTTTTTTAAAGAAAAAAATCGTCAGTGTTACAGATACAGGGTGTTATTTGAATTAATGTGAATTCTTTTTAATTGAGTAGGAAAAATAATATACAAATTTGATAAATATAAAAAAAATTATAAAAAGGCATTTTTCAAATCAGCCCAAACGGAAGTCCTTGTTCAACTACAAAACGCGCGTTCTCTGTTTAGACTTCATGTTGACAGAAAGACAAAAATAATCTTTCTGTATTTCAAAGGAAAACGGAACCAGCATATATGTGAGATGTAAAGGCACAGAAACTAAGCTCTTGAAGACGTTACAATCCATGTTTTGGTCGCACAGTCTATTGTGCTCCATTCCTTTGTTCAGGCTTTCTGCGCTCCACATCCCTTTGTGTTTGGTAACCATGGCAACATTTCATCTTCTGCATCAGCACCTAAACGTCGACTCTACAGTGTTGCCATGGCTATTTAAAGAACAAGAAACCGCTTCAGGACAAACCTGCGCACGTTCATTTCACTATAAAGCGTGTAAACACTGCAGGCTATTGTCCAGATCACTACACTAAATAAGAGACGGTGTTAGTTAAGTGTACCATGTTGTGTGTTTACCTCCCTAGAAACAGTAGTCTGGAATCAGCGACCCTGATCAAATTGAAAATGCACCAACAACTTACGAACACAGCTCTGAATCCTATTAAATATTATATTCATTGAAAAATATGCATAAGGCATATTGTACAGCAAAATAAACCCTGAGAAAAATGTATTACATAAACGACATTCCTGCGCGCATATTGTCTAGTCAGAGGGCCTTGTCAGTTTGTCTGTGTTTTCAGACAGCGTATTGTCATTAAGAAATAACATGACTATGTAAGCTGACGCTGCATCAAATAACATTGATAATAGCTAGGTTTACTAATACCAGAGCACGAAATAAGTCAAATACTGTAGCATTTATTAATATGCAGCGCTAAATTCAATCGGAGGATATTTTTGTTATCAAAATATTTTGTTAGCAACATAGATTCGGCCTTGTATGCATCCATTAAATCACAGCGAGCATTAGCTCGGAATTAAGCCCCGATTTGTCATCATATCAGGAGATGCTGTTTGTTTATGGTTTGCGTCAATCCGTTCAGCGCGCTATGAACAGCCAAGCGCGAGCCGTTCAGGTGAAAACGAATAAGAGCAATAACAAAACAACAAAGCAGCGCGCGGCGTCATACCTTTCGGAAATCTTCTCTGTGAGTTTAATCTTTTTCATTTTCCGTAGCCTGCCTATATCCATGTAGCGTTTCTTCATATTATGGCTTCTGGTCCCCCTGGCTATTTAGTCCATTAAACAGCTAATTGTAGTAAGACTGGAGGTCTCATTTACAGTAACCTGAGCAGAAGCGCTTTGTGCGTTAGTGGAGGTGGATGTGCGCACGCTCGAGAACTTCACACACAACCAAGCGCCACGATGAGGTGCGTGGAAGTACATCTGCGCTGTCTGGACAACAAGAGACTCAGAAATGTTGCAAAGACATCGCGGCCACTGGCCAGTGATGGATAGATGCGGTATAATCGCGAGTTCACAAACCAAAATCAACATTATATATATATATACATATATATAAAGTCTGTTAGTGAGGCTGCCCATTTCATAATGAACTGACTATTTTAAATAATAAACAGCTGCATCTCTATTTGCTTTGCTTTGATTAGGCTCACAATGGAGAGGACGGACGGACAGACAGATAGATAGATATACCAATATCAGCCGCAGTGTTATAATGCATTCTTTTGTTATTTTGCAATGTAGTATTATTTACAGTCATGCCAATAATGCAATTTTGAATTAGATAGATAGATCTATATCATAGCCGTAGTGTTAAGTAACAAAATAAACTGGATGTAACACTACAAAGCTGCATGTCTGACACAAAATAACACTTCCTCTTACTTCCACATGATGGTCTTCTTGGGAAACAAAACTAGAGGAATCGTCACCTCATGTTTAGATAGTGGTGTTGTATAGCCAGTCAGTTTTACTAGGTGAACTCATAGGTACTTCCAAGAGTTCACCGCACCACTTTCCCTTCCTTAATCAAGACATGCTGGATATTTTGGAAATATAATGCTGTTCACTATTTTGATTTTGCGGCTTCTTCTCACTCCACAAGGTAAAGTCTTTCACCAATATTCTGATTACAGACACATCTCAATTGTCTAAATGCCCTATCATGCCCTTGTGCAGGTGGCTTGAGCTGGTTTTCACTAGAAAGAGAATAAACAGAAAAGAGAGCTTGGAATTTTACAAACAGGCACCTATCAATACAGCGGTCTTCAAATTTTTAAGACCAATTACAATGTATCCAGGAAATAAATCAAGGACATTTTGAGAACATTTGTTTTTTTATTTAATGCTTGTATATTATGCATGTATATAAACCACACTGTCATCAACCATCTGCTTTCAGTTTGATTACAATTCTGAAGTGTTGGGGGGGGAAAAAAGTATTGTTTCTTTCTGCAGCTACTGCCATTTTCCATGCAAAACACATTTCATTGACCATACTGTCAGAACACAGCAAAGATTCAAGCAGCTGTCTTTGAAACATATGCAACATAAATAACTTGAAATTTATAATTCTCTCAGATGAAAAATGTATGCAACAAACTAAACCAAGGATAACATGCATCATCTTGGTACCCAGTCGTCTATACATTTCAGTTACATCTGTTTGTGCAATTGTGCTGAAAGAATCTCCACATCCATCTGCTCCCACAGATTGTAGGGTCTGCTGTCCGATTCAGACATTTATTTCTGGGTGATGGGGAATGAATTCTGGTCCATCAGTTCACCTACTCGCTCCTGGAGAATCTGCACAACTTCAGCTAGGATGAAAACGTGTGTGTCGTCCAAATCCTGGATGATAAATTTCTTCCCCAATGCAGATGTCTCGTCCAGATATAGAAGAAATTGCTTCATAGCTGGGTCACTGGTTGATATTTTAAAAGGAGAATCATAAATGAAGACGCACTGCAGCATGACTTTATTTTAAAGGTGCACTCAGAATTGTTTTTGTTTTTTTGTTAAGCTACTTCTTTTGTTAAACGTTTTGTTCTCTTTCAAACATGATTATTCAAACCACGATTATTTTTTAATTGTTTCCACAAGCAAGTATGTAACAAGCGGTTCCAAGATCAAGAGAATGGTTCTGTTGGTCACCCATGTGGCAACCAGCTCCATGTAAAATAAAACGGCTTTTGACTACTGATCTCTTCATCTTCTGTAAGTGTATATGATTTCACATAGATTTAAAAAAAAATTCATGTTCATTTGTAAGTTTAAAAATTGTAATCAGAGAAAATATACTGAATGCCCCTTTAAATATTTGTATGTAAAACTTACCATTCAACGAGAACTCCTTTTAAGACATTAACCATTTTGAATGTAACAAGCGGTTCCAAGATCAAGAGAATGGTTCTGTTGGTCACCCATGTGGCAACCAGCTCCATGTAAAATAAAACGGCTTTTGACTACTGATCTCTTCATCTTCTGTAAGTGTATATGATTTTAAAAAAAATCATGTTCATTTGTAAGTTTAAAAATTGTAATCAGAGAAAATATACTGAATGCCCCTTTAAATATTTGTATGTAAAACTTACCATTCAACGAGAACTCCTTTTAAGACATTAACCATTTTGGACGGGATGGGTTAACACTTCTGGTTCTTCGGTTAAAGCCTAAGTATCTACAAAAGGCAAAATTGTTCTGAACATTAGAAATAATAACAACAAGTTAGCAGGTTACCGTGAATGTTTGCAATCGTTTCACATACTGTACGTATCCCCAAACATATGTACGCAAATCCTATAAAGCTAGAAATCAGCAGTTTCACGAAAATGAAAATAAATCACTTACATGATTTTTATTGTGTTTATCTGTCAATTTGTTTTAATCCAAGTGTCCACCACCTACCTACTAACAATGGTCTTCCTCTACTAACTGACTAAAGTTTGATCTGTGCGCTCTACTGCACTCTGCTGGCCTGAAGCGCACTGTTGCTCTGAAAAGAAAAAGCTGCAGTATAGTAAAAGTACACGATTTAAATGGAATATAAAGTTAGGATACACATCTTTATTAAGTGTGATAAAGATTTGGCAATAATTGTGTCTTGTACATACTCAGCATTAATATAAAAGTAGAATGGCCCTATGCAAGTACTACAATTAATCCATTAGTACAAAAATAGTGGCAAATTACAGCCGACATCAGTACCAATCTGTGTGTCTGAGGTAGGGATACAAAGAAGGCTGGTGAGTTAAGAAAAAAGGCTAGTTTTCAGTTTCTTCAAAGAAAAATAAATTATGTAAATAAAACCAACTTTCTATAAATGATTGACATTTTAAATATAATAAACTTGATACTGGGCATTAAAAGTTAAACTCAGAGGTTTAAACAAAAAGCATATTCATATTGTCAAGAATTAAAAAACATGAAAAGAAAAATCCAGATGCAATTTTAGAACTTTCTTTCATTCATAGTTAACACTATCCTTTAGAATGTAATGGTTGAATCCTCAAGAGGCAATGAAATGGCAAGAGACCGGTTTTGGAGTGTGAACTTTAGGGTTCACTAAATTCTCTGTCCTCTAAGAGCATCTTGAATAAACTGTAAAGTACGTTTATAGAGAAATGAGTCCTTTTTTTCTGGCTTGCAGATGTTGAGGTGATCAACGTCCACCTGGATGAGGTCCCCAATACACAGATCTGAAAGAGAAAAAGGAGAATTTATTTTTTCCGATACCAGGTACCCAAAATTGCCCATTTTTATGTAAGAACGATACATCATGCTGCTTGTTGTTCAATTATTCTGACCTACCTGCTGACTGAGATGGAACTACCAATATTTTGAGCATCGGTCCAATGGAGGTTGGCAGAGTTTCTGCAAAGCTAAGGACCTTGAACTCTTGTTCCTTTGTAATGTTCAGGAAATTTTCATTCAAGTCCCGTAACGCTGGAGAGTCTGAAACAGATGAACAGAAAAATGATGTGTAAATGAGATTGAGGATCAATCTTAATCTTATCAGGAGAAATTAATATATTAATATTTAGGGGGAAAAAGAAATCTCATTATACCTCTACATAGTTCTTTTACTTCAATGGAGGGAAAAAGGAGATATCGGACATTTACAGAATACCCTGCCATAAACGTGCCGTGATGAGGAACGCTGTAGAACAGAATTCCCTTCGTGTTCTTGATCAGCGGACTGAGATCAGGATCTTTAGAGGCATCTAAGAGCATCTTTTTCACAAGCAAACCTGTGACACAAGTTATGATTAAGAGTTACTCTAACAGTCTTCAAATTACTTGGCTTTTTTAGCTACAAACAGGGCTGCACAATTTATTAAAAAACTGAAATCACAAAATGGCCTTGTGAGATAATTAAACCTCTAAAATGAATATTAAACTCCCTGTTGAAAATGTAATTTTAGTTCTGTTATATATAAGCATTCACAATATAAATTGTAATATGTTTATCAGTTCAATAGCAATTGCAATATGATTAGTAAGAAACTACTGTATTGCAAATAATTCAGACAGGTACATAAATATGACGTAGGACGATTTAGAAAATTACTCTCATAGTTGGGTGCTGGTTATTCTAAGACCCACCATTGGACTAACCTCCCATACTGTGGGCTACCCAGACCACAGGCCTTTCCCCTACACCTGCATCCTTCAATTTCCTCAGCAGTTCCTGACTCCTGTAGGCCAAGGACTTCCTGCATAGCACAAAAAGCAAAGAAAAACATGGATATCAGGTATGCTACATTGTGTTAATCAGATAATTTAGGAATGCACATCACTGAAAATGGACTGTATACCTTTGGTTTTCAGCAGGACATTTTGCCTTCCAATCACTTAAATGGGTGTCATACTCAACCGACAGGATTCTGAGGTTTGGACAGTCTGCAGCCAACCACGACTGTGGGGGGGGGGAGAAAAAGTAGACTTTAGACTTCGCTCAGACTTTCAGAATAGCTCTGAGGCCCTGTAATGCCATTGTATTGCAAATAATATTTGGGGTAACTGTGAATTTACTCATAAGCTTTGAAAAATATAAATAAAAATCTGACCTTGGGCCAGCATTCAGTGTAGTCCTCTGGAACCCCTTCCACCTTGTCATCATCCGTCATGTCAAGATCCTTTTGACGCCATGTTTTAAAAGCTGCTCCCAAGAGGCCGTGCACGAAGAGAACATCAGCTTTGATTGGCTGGCTGAATATAAAGAATGGAAAACATGGATTAATCCTCACTAAACAAAAGACATTTTCAGACATATTTGGCAAAGATACATTAAATTGATCATTGACATTTATAATGTCTTTAACAGATTTCTATTTCAAATAAATGCTGTTCTTTTAAACTTTCTATTCATCAAAGAATCTAAAGTAAAAATGTACCACGGTTTCCTCAAAAATATTAAGCAGCCCAATTATTTTGAACACTGATAATAAGATGTTTCTGGAACAGCAAATCAGCGTATCAGAATGATTTCTTAAGGATCATGTGACACTGAAGACTGGAGTAATGGCTGCTGAAAATTCTGCTTTGCCATCACAGGAATAAATTACATTTGAAAATATATATTACAAAAAAAAACCTTTTATTTGAAATATTTCAGAAAATTACGGTTTTACTGCAGACTTGGTGAGCATAAGAGGAAGTTCAAATAAGCATGCATACTTTGTGCGGCATTGTGGGTGCAATATGTAAACACCATCCTGGTACTTCTGTCGTACAGCTTCTCTGTCCAAATTGGCTAAAGCACGGGCAGCATGAGATGCCTGCATGATGTATGGTGACTGGATCATCTCAGCCAGGACAGACACCCAACCTAAAGGTCAACCACAAAAGAGAATAAAGAACTACTCTTTTTCAACACAAAATCTAATTCATGAATCAGTTATTCTAAAGTACAAAGCTAACCTGACTGTACTATGGCTGTGTGCAAGCTCTCATTCAGGGCGAGATTTCCAATAATTCGCACAATGTTGCGCTGAATTTTTGGAGAGTCTCTGCGAAGCTGGTAGACTCTTTGCAAGAGCTGCAGTCCTCCATTAGCAACAATGTGATCACAATGACTGTGGACCTGTGAACAAAGAACACTCAAATGCTTTGAATGGATTTGTTTATTACCAACAATGAACAAATTCTTGATTAAAACTGATCAACTGAAGGTACACATCAAGAATATCAACAAAACCTCACTCAACACACCCAAGCATCCTGTCTTCTTTGATCATTGCTTACTTCCTTGCTACACAAATACATGTAACTTTGCAGAGTTTGTAAACCTTCACCTTTGAGTGCTGCACCAGGGCCTGCAGGCAGAACGTCTCCACCTTCTGAGAGGGGGTGGAAGTCAGACTTTGGGCATAGGGCAACCCATTTCCTCCAAAACACCAAAGCCCTCCCTATAATCACAGACCAAAATGCACAGCTTAACACAGTGGCACTTTTATATGGATATAAATGTGATTACATGAAGTACAATAGTGCCCATACACTTTTTCAGCATTCTTGATTTCAAAAGCGTTTTCCCCATAGGGATTTTAAAAATGGCATTTTACATTACAAACTTTGATTTGAAGCAAAACAGTATTCGAAAGAATAATTTCTGAAGGATATATATAATACACACACACACACACACAAATATTTAGGTAGTTTGAGAGCGTAGGGATTATTTTACATTATTTGTTATTCAGAATCAGTGATGTTATTTGCAGTGTATCATAGGAGTGGGTGGGCACTAAAGTGTTCTTTGGCATGATTTGTTTGTTTTGATTTTCTAATTGGTGGAGATTTCTGTGCAGAATCATGGGTAACGCAATTTTTCACCAGGAATTCTGTGCTGAATGATTATTTAAAATAAATAAGTTGGGCCGATGACCTCAACAGAAGCATATTCCATTGATTAACAAACTTGTAGCTCATAATAGGTATTTATTTTTTTAAAGTTTTTTCAGTTATTGTTAAACAAACTATGAAGAAAAAGAAAATTATTTTTATTTGTGGAACTCAACTTTTGCACTCTATAGCTTTAGTGTGTGTATGTCTCACCCGTTGAGAGGCTAGTGATTGGCTGCTCTCTCTTAGTGCCAGAGAGGTGAAGTACTGCACACACTGATCCACCTCCGACTGGGGCAGAGATGCCAGTAACTGCCTAAGCCCATCTTCTATTGATATATCCTTTACACACACAAAACATTAGCACAAGTAACTGACATTACACAGCAATTCAATTTGGCTATTGTCTGAACAATAACTACCCACATCTTCAGTGTGCGGCAGTGGAGGAGGAGGGAGAAAGAAGCGCAGGTCCACGTTAGGTATGCGGGCGAGAGCCACAGCTGTGCGCTGATCTATCACTTGTGCTGCAGTCTGGTACTGGTAATCTGTGATGGACAGGACAAAAGACCATTCAGAGCTCACAGAGTTATAGTGATGTGCTTATTCTCTGGTGGGCAAAGGGGTCTGTGCAATAGAAATAGGTTTTGCTGAGCAAGAACAACATGAGTTTTCAGTAAAGTCAGTAAATCTTGACATTTTATAATAATGAGGAAAGTTTGAATAAGACTGAGAAATATAACTACAACTGTTTTCTATATTTTTTTTAAATAACTGAATTTTCAGCAGCTATTACTCCATTTGAAAACAGTTGTGCTGCTTAATATTTTTGTGGAAATCATATTTTTCAGGATTCAGAATTTATTTGAAGTATAAACCTTTTGTAACATTATAACGGTCTTCACAGTCACTTTTGATCAATTTAATCCATGCTTCCTAAATAAAGGTATTAATTTCTAAAAAAATAAACTGACCCCAAACTTTTCAACAGTAGTGTATATTATAAACTACTCTTCAGCTTCAAACCTGGTGCCAAGAAAAATAGATTCCACATTATGCATAAGAAGAACAGACAGTAAGATACCTGCCCTATTTAAAACAGAACAACATTCCATGTCAGTTCCTCTTTGTGCAGCTACAGGTGACATCTAGGTCAAAAATACTGTCAAGTTATGCAATAAACCATAATGTCCCCAAGTGTTTTTTTAAGCATGTCCTTTATTAACCAGGAAATTAACGTTCTTAGAATTGACAAGACAGTTGACCCTGAGAGGTCAGCTAAATATCTACAGCGGATCTAAAATATGAATAGTTAATTATAACTAGTTATGGTTAGTTATTCATATTTCACATGAGCTGATTCGTTACAGATGAAAATACTGTCATTATTTATGTTTCACACCTGTGTGATATTTTCCAAAATATCTTCTTTTGTGAAAGTGATGGTGACATGAGGTGGTTAAATAATGACAGAATTTAATTTTTGGGTGAGCTATATTCCTTTTATGGTTAGTGAATGCAGCTTTCTATGAAGATGCAGGAATTTTGATCAGTTAATAAATGCAGATGCAAAAAGCTATTGCAAAATATATTGTTTCACTTTATTTTTAGGAGTACAATTGCATTGAGAAATATTTACAATGATTCCAGAAGACTAGAGTTCACAGAAAACAAACCAATAAATACACATTCTACTGAGTTTGGTGCTAAATTATTTTAAATGAGTTTTTTCAATAACTGTTTGTCTAGGAATTTGCAACAGAGATCAGTAATGCTCTCAGATCTGTCATGCTTTTTACGACCTTCAATATCTCTTACTTTCTCTTTATCACGTTTTCTCATCTTTCTCTCTCACTCTACACAAACATATTATCTCCTTGCAAAAATATAGGTCTTTTGTCCTTATACTAAATCAATAAAGCAGACCCGTAGAAACCAAAAAAATCATCTCACTCTCTCTTTCACACATTCTCTGATATAAGTATTTCAGATTGACCTTGCACACACTCTTAAAAATAAACAGTCCAAAAATAAGTTTTTGCAGTGATGCCATAGAATAATTATTTTTGGTTCCCTAAAGAACCTTTCATGGAACAGTTTTTAAAAGAACCATTTTTTTTTTTAGTGAAAAGACCATTTAAATAATCAAAAAAAACTTTTTTCCACTATAACGTTATGTTCAATGGAAAGTTCCATGGATATGGTTCCTTATGAACCATAGATGCTAATAAAGAACCTTTATTTTTAAGAGAGTACAAACAAACAGAAATATGTACATATACACACATTGAAAAACTGGACATGTCAGTTTAAGTTGTAAGACATCCATACTGCTTTCAGCAGTCCAATTTTCTAGTCCAAGTCTATTACATTTATCTTCCCCCATCACTGTAGCATCTCCCCTTCCTTCACGTGGTCGTCTATTGATAGGCTCGTATGATGCTCTCATAGGCAGGTGGTGGAGTCTGGCCAGCATGAAAGGCCCTTAGATTGCTATTGCCCCAGAAGGAATCTGGTCTGGTTCTGGCCCGGGGTGGAGTGACCATGGAATTGACAGTGCTGGTGGATCCGGCCTTCCCAGGGCTGGTAGTGAGAGTGGGGGTCCGTGGCAGGCTGCCCTGGGCACCCCCTTCTGCCTCACGAGCAATCTGGCTACACTGGAGAAGAGGATGAAAAGTAGAGGCCCGGAAGCTGGACTTGCGTCCTGGCGAGTCACCATAGTCTATCGGTGAGGATGAGGTTTGCCGATGGAAGGAGAAGGCAGCGCTGGCCAGACTGTTATTGCTGCATCGGTCATAGCCACTGCTGTGTCGACTGTAGCCTGGCCGAGAGCGTGGCGAGGATGAACGGGTGGTGGAGTGGGATTGGTGGATGGGTACACGTGTGATGGTGGCTGATGCCCGTCGACGAGACATCCAGGTCAAGATCATGTAGACCAGAGCTCCCAGCAGAAGACCAACAACCATTGAAAGACAGAAAGCCAGAATCACATCCCCTGGAGAAAGGAAAGAAATAAAATTGGTAGAAATATGTTTTTAAGCAAGCACTCTGTGGCCACAGAGTTGCTTATAATAGCTAAGTGGACTAGGTAACACTTCCAATTATAAACAAAACATGAAGGCTCTGTCTCTGGTGGTTTAGTTAAAATTGCTGAACAAAAAGAGTCTTGTAATCGTCACTGTAATATTACTTTGGTCAAAAACTGTAAAAATGCTACCTATCAGATTGTGCTACCAGCGTCTTATTCATGTGGTTTGAGGCTTTTTTTTAAGGTCCATACCTACCCCTACCCGTCCATACCTACCCTTACCCAAACAATGCAAATATATTTTTGGTAGCACAATCTGAGAAGTAGCATGTTTCGTTGGTATACCGGGGCCAGGAGAGGGAGAAACATCCTCATCAGGTGTAACGTTTGGCCTTGTGTCCGACTGTCCATCAAGCCAAGTTTTTTTACTAAAGAATTTAAGCAGGGAGCTCTGCAACATATTGCTAGCTTGCAAGGTTTTTAGTCAAAGATTCTCTATTGTTTAGAATGTGCGGCAAACGTCTCCTTCCGGTCACACGTTACAGTTAGCGGCTGTTTGCGGATAGTTTGGCAGTCCGAATGTCGGCAGATTATTTTTTTTTAAAGAAAATCATTTAAAATTTATACTACATTTTAAATGAACAAATATTGTAAGTAAACAACAATAGACCAAGTTAAAAATTTTTTAACGCATTTATTTTTGCACAATTGCATTTTTAAACGCAAAAACGCGTTTTTTGTAAACGACACCAAAGTTCCTTCTATTCTATATTCTTTGACGACACCTAATAAGTGTGTAAGCGTTGGCGAACATTAATTTTAGGAAGTAACCATAGCAACAGTAGCAGCAGGAACGCCATGAAGATTAGTGATGGTACATGGACAAAACCTAAATACTGTCGTTGTTTGTCACTTTATTCTGCAGTTTCAGGCAGTTCACAAAAACATCACGTAAACATTTAGTGTTGTATCAAAATTTTTAAGATGCTTGACGCTGTTTGGCGAACTGCGCTAGGGGCGCCATACAGTTTGCGTTGAGGGAGACGGACTTAGAAAATTACTGACAGAAATGACTTTAACCAGTCGACCAGTCTCTAAGAATAATAATTAGCTTCTATTTTCTTTTCATCGAACGTGCTGTTAAACGCCTGGTTCCCTGTAATCCCTGAACAAGATGTCTATATTTTTCAGAAGGCTAATAATGAAGTGTTGACGGCCTTCTACTCCCATCTCTGCAGGATCATTAGAGAGAGACACTATCAGGAGATCGAAGGTCAGTGAGGAGCGCCTATCCTGACAAATCAAAGTGGGTGGGCCCAAATTCCACAATAGAAGGCACACCCAATGTTCTCTTATCCTTTACGGTTAAAATGAATTAAATAGTTTGCATTTTAGGAAGCTTCCTGTTATGGCATTCCATTGTCTACAGAAATACCAGTTTCATTAGCACACAGGGCTTCTGTCTGGCACAGGCCATTTAAGGTCCTTTGAATCTAACAATAGTTTGAGTGAGAATTTTGTCTTTAAATTTGAATTCTTCAATTAAAATTTGTTTGAAAAAGAGCCAATGTTGTTTTAGTAATATATTTGATTGACAAATTGTAGCAATTTTAAACCACAGCACACAACTATTCTACATATCATTTATGTATTGTTTTTAGTATTACAAAATATGACATCAAAACTCTTTAGAGACTTGTGTGTAAAATAATGTGGGTGTTTATATGCAATTTTCTCCCTGAGTGAAAGGAATCACAGTCCAGAGTGAAAGATCATCTGGAAATGACATTTGGAAAAACCAAATGGAAAAAACTGCACACTGGCTGTGTTGTTTTTTTATGGACCACTTTTGCCAATATATTTTGCCGCTAGTTACTACTGTCTGCATTTCTGTTGAGAAATAAGTTCTCTTAAAAGACTCGACACAGCATTTTCTACACTTTCCAAATATTTTTTAGAAGTACAACGTTGACATTGTAATATTGTAAGTTAATTTGTGTGTATGCAAGAGATAACTCTTTATAAAGTGTGTAAAGATGGTAGAATATCTTACTCAATCCGAAGGACTCCAGTATTTCCACAATAGGATGAGTGCTGTTATCCGCCATAGCTCCCTATAGAGATACAGGGGAGACGAGAGAGGACACAGTCTCTCCCCTCCAAATCTTTCGTCCACTCACTCTTCCTTTTAACTTTTTCTTATTTCTCTCTCTGTGTCTACCCAACTCCCCAATTCCAGGGACCCTCCTCTCTCACTTTTTCTCTGTCTGTGTCTCTTTTTCAGTCCCAGACTGCTCAGCACTGTGGCACACAGGATCCTCTCCAAGGCCGGGGTCGCTACTCTGTTGTTTGTGGAAAAGCAAAGTCTTCACTTCACATTTCCTGCCTTTCCTGTGTAAAATTAGCAGCAGACTGGCCTTATCTACGCAGACCAGGGTTCCTGTGGGATGGAGAGGAAAGGGAGGAGGGTACAGAGAGAAGGAGAGTCAAGGTGTGTGTGAAATAATTTTCTCCTGTCATTTGCCCCCTTTCCCCTGGCCAAAATTCATCATATTTTACTTTACTTTATTTCCCTTTCTCTTCCAGACACTTGGCATAAACAGTGAGGAGGGCTATTCTGTGACCCCACTGATGGCATTTTGCCATGAGGCAAAGAGCTACACAATTCATTTTATCCTCTGATCAAAAATACAGTACAATTGTGAAATATAATTCCTATTGTACTTTTAAATTCTTACATTAAAATAGTTTTTTCCATTTTAATATATTTTAACATTTTATTTATTTCTGTGATGGCAAAGCGGAATTTTTAGTTTCACATGACATTTTCAGTGTCACATGATCCTTCAAAAATCATTCTAATATGCTGATTTGGTGCTCAAGAAACATTTTTTTTAAATTATCAATAATGAAAACATTTGTTTTGCTTAATATTTTGATGGAAATCATGATACATTTTTTTCAGGATTCTTTGCAAAAGAACAGCATTTATTTGAAAATTAGAAATCTTTTGTAACATTATGAATGTCTTTACTGTCAATTTTGATCAATTTAATGTGTGCTTGCTAAATAGAAGTATCAATTTCTTTTAAAAAATGTACTGGCCCCAAACTTTTAACTACTGTAGTGTATTGATTATAATATAATATGCAATGCAATATTAAAATAGCATTTTTATTTATTTTTAATATGGCTGTCCAAAACATTAGAGTAGAGGGACATGAACACATTCCCATGTCTTCATTTTTGTGATATTTTTTCCACGTATAACCACTGTGTAAATCAACATAGCCATGGCAACTGACAAAATCAAATAAAAAGCTTCCAGAATTCTTTCAGGATTCCAGCACAGGATAAAACCAAGTCCAAACTGATGAAACCCTAGCATTTTTCTATGTATTTCATAACAAAAGATTTCATAACACAATTTCCCAGATTTTTGTGCTTTTACTGCTCAACGTTGTCTGCTCTAGTCGTGCTGGTCATCACAATGCTTCAGATTTTCCATGTAGAGTGCCAGCTCTGTGCTGGGTTATCCTGACCAGGCTAGCTTTTGCAAAAACAGAATCCTGATAAAATCCTGCAAAGAAAGCAGGATTTTGCCCCGAACCAGACCACTTTCACCTCTGTGAGAACTGTGTTCTTTCCCTTCATAGTGTTCATTAAGGGTATCGGGGGGGTTAATGATTAAGAACAGTAGATAGCACGGGGTTTTAGGACAGAGCCGCTGGTCTGGGAAGAGCGGGACAGGCCCCATACTGACATTTCCTCTCATTGTTGCTTTGTGCTGTGGACTGCAGATATCAGCTGTTGCCATACACAGATCTGAAGTATACATTACACTTCTTTTTCTAGCCTATTGTATATTTTTCATTAAAAAGCCCCCAAGAACATGCAAGTTCATGTTTGGGAACTCTTGACCAATCATTAATGCAAAAGATTTTGTTTGTTTGTTTGTTTGTTTGTTTGTTTATGGATGATTTATTTAATTATTAATTTATTTATGTTATTTATTTATTGCCATTGAAGACATTAATTATATAACTTGAAATCTCTCTTCAAAAATAACATGTATAAATAAAATGTAGTATTTATAAATAAAATACATTAAAATAAAATATATTTTTTGTAAAAATATTTTTTTCCATGTAGTTCAATATATATTTTTGCACATTGTATAATATATTTAAAAAAATTTTTACAACTTTTTTCTTCTTGTATTGTGTATTCTGTGATTTATGGCTGCTGTAACTCCTCTGTCCTATCCTATCCTATCCTATCCTATCCTATCCGTCTTCTCTTGATGAACAGCAGATGGCTCTGTTACTCTTTAGAGAACATGTCGCAGCATAAAAGCATTCCAGGCTGAATTCTGATTTGTATCTGATTTGCATTTCAAATAATACCCTGGACATCACAATTCTTGATCTTATTTGCTAATTGGTTTGTTTGTTTGCTTGTCAGCATGAAACCCTCTCTTTCTTTCTTATCTATTTCCAGGAAAACATTTAGCAAAATGTTGATGTGCGATGATGAACAGTTTGTCGCCTAATGGGCTCTTCAGAATGATGGAGGATACAGAGGCTTCATGCTGGCTACTTGGAGAAGGTGAGTGAACGAGAATGACATAAGATCCTCTGCGCATAAGGACTTGTGCCAATAACTTCACACTGTGCTCTCTCCCTCACATTCATCTGCAGTGACTGTGTAGAGGTCATTGCTAAGCATTGCTGTTTGAAAACCAGCAGACTCAGCAGAGTGGTCTCTGAATCCCGAGCTTAACGCTCCAGTCAGGCATTTCACTTTGCTTTTTTCATATAACATGCATGTGTGTGATTGAACCGGTAATGGAAGTGAAAAGCATAACAGTGTGTCTCTGGTATGGGAGTTGTTTCCGCCCCTCTCGTATTTCACTTAATGGAATCCCATGCTTGAGATATGCCATATTCCAATATCTTTTGCATTTTCCATGAGCGGAAGCTCAGACGTGTAACACATTTTAATTGAATCACTTAGTGTAATGTTGTCTGGCTTTGCTAAAGTAACACACTCACACACAGCAGGACTCGATTTGAGTCTCACTATTGGACTGCACTTGAGATCTGCACTCTGATTGGACACCAGGTGGCAGTGAAAACTTATGCTGATCCCTACAGTAGAGTGTGAGAGGCAGAAAGAGAGAGAGAGTGCAAAGGGAAGAGGCTGCTTCCTGCAGAAGCCACAGAACTTCAAGGGAAGGAAAGAAAACGTATGTTTGCATGGCATGCACTGATTGAAAATAATTACGCTTTTCATGTAGACTTCAGCTGATCCTGGATCACTGGAGAATTCTCGGGTGGAGCCGCATCCACTGACCTGCATCAGCACCACTGACTTCGAATCAGTGGAATGGCATCTGCTCAGCGCTATGGCCGTTCAGACAGGGAGATTGCCAATGAGATGCAGAGGCTGCAGGGTAGGTGCTTACGCATGCTTTCTCTTAAAGGTGACCTCGCCACTGTGTAGGATGACACAGCATTTACATACTCAAGATGTCATTTTCTTTAAAGGCTGAAATGATTTCTGAATGGATTCTAACTTGGATTGTGATGTCTTGTTGCATTTTTTGTTTGATAACTGCACCTATGAATCGATTTGAGATGATTCCTCTACTGTTATTCATCTGCCTGGATTCAGTACGTCTCTCTGCAGCTGTGTGTTGTGAGACGTCTGATGCTATTGCCAGAATTGTCACAGCCACATGCAAAGTTTATGCTGCTTGGTTTCCAATTGATGCTTTGCGGTGTTTATGACGTCTCCTGTTGCAAAGTCATCCTTGGGGAAACTTTCTGTCCTGGCACTTGAGGAGAGTTTGTTTGTGTTTATGTGGATACACTTTCAATCAGATGCTCTTTAGATTTAGCACTGAAAGCTGGTGCATTAGAGCGTCTTTGATCAGTTTCTTATTGACCTGGATTGTAGTACTTTTGTGCCCTTTGTGTGGACCACTTTTAAGATTGAATCAGAGGCAGAGAGAGAGAGAGAGAGAGAGTGAATGAAAGAAGAAATGAGATTAGGATGAAGAATTGCCCAGAGAGAGACTGCAGGAATAAAGAAAGAGAGGGTTTAGGAGTAGAAGAGCTGACTGTGGTGGTGTGTAGTTAATTCTTCAATAAACAAGTAAATACAAGTGATTATGAAATGCTCTTTCATACCATTTCATAGTGTTCTAAGTAATGGTTTAACTAAAAAAAATTCCAAATATAATCACTTCCTTACTTTCATGTTGTTCCAGATCTGTACAATTTAATTTGTTTCTGTGGAACACACATAGAGAGATTTTTTTTCTTGCAATAATGATAAATAGGGACAGAAGATTTCAATATTCAAAAGTACTATAAAAGTATCATAAAAGTGATCCAAATGACTCATGCACAATATTTTGTCTGAAGACATTAGACCACTTTGCGTGAGTAGTAAATAGAAATGTATTTTGTTGTTTACATTCAGACAAACAAGCATTTGCCTCAACCCTCCTTTGTTGCTTGATATTCGATTCATAAACAAATAGTTAATTTGAGTCGGATCTTTTCAGTGAATCATTTGATTTGGTTCACAAAACTGATCTGGATGATTCATTCAGACTAAATCTATAGTTCAGTCTTTTTTATGTACTATTATAATATTTATTAATACTTTGAATCAGTTTACATTTTAATTTTAGTTAAAATTTTAGCAATTTTGTTATTTTCTGTTTAGCTTTAATTCATTTTTATTTCCGTTTTAGTTTTAGTAATTTTAGTACTTTATTTAGCTTCATTTTATTTCACTTAATTTAGATAGTTGCCTATAGGCAACATTTCTATTTTTATTTTTGTCTTTTATGTTTAAGTTAATATTAAGTAATTTAATTTAAAGTAATATTCATATACTTTATTATTTTTTTCAGTTAACAAAAATGACTTTTAGTAGTTTTAGTTAACAGCAGAGTTAACTCACTGATTCAGTGATCTGGTTGTAGCGTTTTTCAAATTAACAGCTCAAAAGATTTTAGTTTTTTTTTGTTCCACAGAAGAAAATGTATATGAGGAAATTGAGTGACTTTATGGAGGAAATGATGAGGAAATGTTTTAGTTAACAGCAGAGTTAACTCACTGATTCAGTGATCTGGTTGTAGCGTTTTTCAAATTAACAGCTCAAAAGATTTTAGTTTTTTTTTTGTTCCACAGAAGAAAATGTATATGAGGAAATTGAGTGACTTTATGGAGGAAATGATGAGGAAATTATGACTTCTGAATTTAAATTTTAGGTGAAC